TTCCACTTATTCTTCCCTCATTACAAAAAAAAAAAAAAAAAAAAAAAAAAAAAAACCCCCCCCCCCGCCGCCCCCCCCCCCCCCCCCCCCTGCTCATGAAGTCCACTGGCAATGCACTACTTAAAATGAAGGCCCTCTCCACGCATCACTGAAGTTTAATTTAAGATGCGAATGAATGACAGAGAAATCATGCAGGTTATGATTTATCCTTATGAAATTATACTTCAAAACAGCCCCTCACGGCAGAGCATGTTGAGCCGCAACTGCATTTCTGATCACTTACTAGCTCCGGGTGTTTTTACTTCATTTTATTTTGTCAAAAAAAGCAAAATGAAAATGTCAGGTGTGCGCCGGGGAGCTGATGATTTAGACCAACTAATTGCGATTCCTGAACACAACTTGTCATTGTTAATCAGACGCTGCGGTTTGATTCGGTGCTTGAAGATAAACATTCCCCCGTAGTTTTTATTTGCTTCACGCGCAGGACCAGTTTTTACTTTTTTTAGTGAAATGCTCGTTTTCTTTCATCGAGGGTAGAACCACCAAGACTTGCAATAAGACCGAAACATTGCACATTCCAGCATTTGACAGCCACCGTAAAGGGCCCGAGCGTACAGCACGTGGATCCCTCGACGTTCACGCAAACAGCATCGAACCGGGATCCACGTGTGGCGCTGTGACGCAGCGACAGCAATTCCAGCGTTGGTAGGGAGTTAACATTTTTAGAGAGATCATGAATTTCAATTCAGCAATGAACCACTTTTTAATTTTGTATTTATTATTAGTATTATTATTAATGTTTTATTTGGCTTTTTTTTTTCTTTGTTTTGTTCAGTCGTCGATGTGTTTTAATATCTTGTTCTGTGACTACCAAAGATAAACTACAAAGTTGTGTGTTCCATGCAATAGCAGATAAGGCCAAATATCTCTCCTCCATTCTCTCCCACCGGGCGATCCCAGCAGCTGCGGTCGAGCCGGTGGAGGATCGAATCGAGGGAAACGCTCCTCAAACTGGTGTTTTCATCCTTTTTTTTGTTTTTGTTTTTATTTTTTTCATAAAAACCAAAGGGGGCATCTCGGAACAGGACAGCTGCAGTAATGTTTGCAGTGACCAAAACTGAATGGGAGGCGCCGACAGTCTGACTACACGATGACCAAATTAGGGGAACTCCTTTTGTTTGTTTTTTGTCTTTGGGCCAGTGAGTAGAAAAGGGAGCTTTTTGGTCGGAGCAGGTTTGTGTGCAACATAAAGCCGATGTAGATTCAATGAGGAAACTAAATATACCGGTAAATGGGAAAAGCTTTGCAGAGAACAATGTGAAACGGATTCTATACTTCGACTGGACCACACGATGATTCAATGTTGCTCTTCTTTAATTCCTTTTTTTAAATTTCATTTGTATCCTTTGAAATGATTGTACGCCACTTTTTAGGGGTTTTAGCGTCTTTTGGCAAGACTTTATGATTGTGTTTAGTTTCTGTCAACTTATTACTTTTTATATTAAAAAAAACACTCCTGTCAACTAATAAGCTGGGTACAAGGTACTTTATGGCAGTTATTGTTATTTTTATTATATTTTCTAAGTTCATCGCTCATCAGCTAAAAAAAAAAAAGAGGAAAAGGAGCAATCTGTGGTTTCCAGAATTTGTATTTAATATCCAGGCAGCTGTGGGATGGGTCAGTTACAGCCAGGCCGGGATCGTGAGAACAGGGCCGAGCTCGTCCTCAGACCCTCAGTCATCTGGCTGCTGTGTTTGGTATCGAGAAAGAGGGGAACGCGCTGGTAGATTAGAACATTCTCAGCATGTGTAGCTCGACATTACTAAAGATAACAGCATGAGAAAAACCGTTTGTACGCATACCTCAGTTCAAACCTATAGGGAATGATTCAATTACATGAGAAAAAAAAATAAACATTTCACTCGGTTGCACTTAGTTGTATGTCTTGCATGTGTAGTCTGATACTGTAGAGAGAAAACTACAAAAAAAACAAGAGGAAAAAAAAGCAAATGAAATTCGAGCTTGTTTATCTTAAAGGTTTTTTTTGTTTGTTGCCAAACCAATACAAACCTCAGGCCTTTCGTTCATGGAAACATCACCCAGCTGTGTGAGGCACCATTCATCCCGTCCGTCTGTTCTCCGATGGGTTCTTTTAAGGTCGTTCCAACATTTAGGTTGTACATACATGTCGGTATAGCCTTTGTCTCTTTCCTGTCTTATCCTCTCGTCTTTTTTTTAAATTTTTTTTAAGATCAAAAAATACATTTGTGTTCTGATGTTTGCTTCATCGCGACTGCTTTGTATTGACTATGAAATAGCTATGAGAAAAAAAAAAACTGCTGTATGTATTGGAATAGCAAACTGTTCTGCAAATGTATTTTACTTAGTAATCCTTGCTTTAAAAAAAAAAAAAAAAAGGAAAAAAATATCACATCATCCACGCAGACATCTGGGTGAGCTGGTGGGGGCAGGCTGGGGGGGAGATTATCCCCAATTTTGGATTTTAAACTGTAATATAGAAAACAGACTTTTCTCTGTTATCATGACCTAAGCATTTTGTACAGACTTTTCTCCCTCTTTGTGTTAAGCTGTTTTTTGATACTTCCTTTTGATGGTCCAACCACTGCCTTCTGTGGCCGTATGTTAAAGATTACTGCGCTGAGAAAAGGGCAGACAGGTATATTTCCTCTTCAAGACGGAGATATCTTGCATGACTAATCCCAGGGTCACAGAGATGGGGGGGGGGGGGGGGGGGGGGGGGG